CCGAAGGCTTTGCTTTTCTTGTTTGTTAATGATTTGTGTAATTAATGTTTACTTGTTTTATTCTGATAAAAAGACCCCAAAAAGGAGAAAAAAGGAGAAGACTAAAGTTTTTTATTGAAAAACTTCTTTGACAATTTAGAGAGCCAATTGTCTTTGTAGGATTGAGATTAAATAAGGGACAGTAGTCCAGAAAAAAGCCATTACACAAGGAAAAGTTCTCCCAATGGGGGCCTGAACTGATAGTAAAAAGACAGCTTCTTATGACAGTCTGGAAGATTTCCCCCTCACTATTGTTCTCTAGTTCTATTTAATAAGCTGACACTTCTTCCTTGAGCCAACTTATTCACTCTGTGAAAAAGACCGTGGTTTCCCTTTGTAGAGGAGGAAAGACTTCTTTTCCTCACCCATCGCTAGGTTCATTGCTGAGGCACTTACAGCAAAGCGCACATGAATAGGAGAAAGGCATACAGTTTTTTTTAATAGAAGTTGTACGTGACCTGGGAGCCCTCATAAGGAAACGAATACCTGAAGAAACAGAGAAACCTCTGTATTTTTATGTTTAGGTTCGACGAAGAGTGTGCAGTCATGGGAAAGTATGTTCGATGTCAGGGCTTAGAACACAATACCCCAAAATACACCGTGGCATACTGAATATTTTAAGCTAAAAAAAATTGAGAAAACTGCAGAAGCAGGAAGTTCTCTCTGACCTTCTCCAGGCCCCTCTTTCTGGGAGCAGGCCGTGGAAACTGAAGTTCCCCGTGCGGTGGTTCTACCTTGAAACAGGCCTTAAGACCTAGGACGGTCACTCTCTGATCTTCTCCCTCCCTTCTCCCCTGATGACACTTGTATGGCAGGTGTCCTGCCCTATGCCTGGAAAGAAGGAACATCACACAGAGACATAGAAAAAAAATCTGAACAAATAAGACTCGCCAAATTCACCCCAGTTTATTACCATTAGATTATAACCTTTTGTCCTCCAATTATACTTCTGCTTGACTGTCCATAAAAATACAGTTTTCCCTGCGTCTTTGGGTCTTCATTTCAGAAGCCTTTCTCATCGTGTAAAACGTGTATGCTTTTCTTTTGTTAATCTGTTAATCTTTTGTTATAGGGATCTCAGTCATGAACCTTGTGTTGGGTGAGGAAAAGGTATTATTTTTTCTCCCCTACATTGGACACGAGGATATGATCTACTGGTAATAAACTGGGGGGAACTTAGCAGGGCCTGTTCAGATTTTTTTTGGTGTCTCTGTGTCTTCAGATATAGGGATGTTTCTTTCCTCTCAAATGAGAGTCCTGTGACCTGCTTCAGGGGAGAAAGGCAGGGAAATAGTGAGAACGGACTTCCGGCTTCTGCTGTTTTCTCAAACGCCAAGTTGCCATATTTTGGGGTAACGTGTCCTGAACCTCATTACTCTGCCTTCCAAGCACTGCATTATAGAAATGGAAGACTGATGAATATTGAGGTTAGATCCACACTACTACCTTGCGACATGTCTGCAAAAACTTAGTAACATTTTTGTGGCAGACTGGGTAAGGCAGAGAAATCCATTTATTTACTCTTCACTGAGATCTCTTCCATTTTGACATGTGTTAGACAATGAGAACTGCAGAAACCTCAGCACGTAACCATTCCTCCCAAACCTCTGCACTGAGAGACTTGACAAACTCTAGCATGACTTCTAGTAGCTTAAGGCCATGTCCATGGGATGACCCCAGGCCCTACTTAAGATGCCAGCCTTTGGATGCATGCCTCCATGTTGCTAGGAGAATTTTCTTTTTGTTCCAGTCAGAGCCTAGTGAGAGATAAGCCTCTGAATTCCTCTTAGAGTGGTTACTTTAGAAACCTTTCTCTGCTCCTTGAGAAGTGAATCTACCACCAAAACTGTTTTCTCAAGGACCCGAGAGCTATTTTTTTGAAAGGCAAACATTTAGAGAGGTAACTCTTACTCTCTCTCCCAGTTGCTGAGGAAGGACAAGGGCCAACCTAGCTGGGTGCTTTGCTTCAACTTGCTCTATTGCCTCCTGTCATGAAGATAGGAGGAGTTTCTCTCTCCTCTGGGGAAGTGCCAATTCACAAATCCAGATGGCCTAGTCACACTGACTAACCCTCCTTACAACCCACTCAGGGCTTCTTCCTTAGCACACCCCAGCCTTTAAAATGTCTTCAGCCTTTTGTTTTGGGGAAGTTGAGTGCTGTTCATGCTGAGCCCTCTTCCCTACTGCAATAGGATTACTGCGTGAACTCTGTCCCTCATCACTTTACTGTCTTGGTTTGCTGATCTTTGCCAATAGTCAGATGTCTCCTGCATTCTGTTAGCTTCAAAGTCAGGTAAATAAGTTGGACATCTCTATGGTTTCCAGCAATGATGAGTGTTTTCTGCATCTCATTGATTAGAACATTGCTATGGAAACTAGAAGAGCAAAAAAAATCAAACATTTAGCATAATATTTCAGTCCCAGAGTGCTCCATAAGCAGTCACTTGCAACATAAGTGTATGGAATGATGAAGGAAGCAGTGAAGCAGATCATGAGTTTTGCAGCAAGAGTTGACTTTGGTTTGATGCCTTCCTCCAATATTTTAATTAGCTTCTTAAACCTGAGCAAGGGACTATATTTTCTTTGTCTATTTTCTTCATTTTAAAATAGGAATGATAATGCCTACCATATAGACTTGGAACACAGAAATTGAATGAGAAAACGTGTAATACATAGTATCTAGCTCATCAAAATTGTTCAATGAATTATTACTATTTTGTATTTTTAATCCCTAACAAATCCCAAAAAGATTTTATTTGCACTCTCTGTTGTTACAACAAAGCACCCACCTCCTATGGCATCCTTCATATAGCTCTCTGTAGGTTTTCTCTGTTACGCAATGGGCTTCTTCACAGGTTTCATTTTTCTTTGTATCCCCAGATTGTACCAATTGAAAAGGTGGACATTCAATACATGTCTACTGAATGAACAAGTATTAATACATGAATAAATGCACAAATAAATGTGCAGTTACAACAAAGTGATGGTGAACTCAAAGTACCAAAATCGTTTCATAGTTTTACATAGGCAGAGTCAATTAATGATGTCAAATTTAGTCGTGAGACTAATGAAGGCAGCATAAGACATTAATCTATAAATTTTTCTTATATTCAGTCTGAAACAAAGACCTATCCACTATGCTGCCTTCACTGCTTCCTAAGAACCAGCAGCCTCAGAAACAGGATCTAAAGGTACAAATGGGAAATTACCACAGCACAGTTTTCATTTCCTGCTTTTGAGTATCTGGTTGGACTACTCACGCTCAACTTATTAAACCTCAGTAAATGCCTATCCCACATGATTCCACTCATAGATTTTCCTTTGTCCACGGCAGTCATCTTAAAAGCAGAAAGCAAAGAGCTCTCAAATGCTTTATCTACTCGGGACTCTAGAGAACAATGGAATATCGCTCTGATGTAGAAAATTTGGATGAAGATGGGTATACTCAATTACACTTCAACTCTCAAGGCATCACCAGGATACCTGCGGTCTCAGAGAAAGGTATTTTTTAAAACTATTTCTGCCTTTAGCTCTCTCGTTTTCATCAGCTAAAACACTGAAGTGGAGAAAATTTGAGAGACTTGTGATTTGTAGAGCTATCACTGATATATTTTTAAAGGTTTTTAGAAGTCACTGAAGATCGTTTGAATGTACCCTTAGCCTTTGTTCATGGAAATTATTCAGTGACCAATTATTACTATTTAAACTAAATATGTATGATGGCAGAAAATACAACTTATCTATCTGTAGAAATAGACAATCAGAGAGGAGCTGGTACTAAGTGTGATGATGATATATAATGATAAAGGAATTGCTATAGGAGTGACTCATTTGTTTTTGATATAAAGGGGTAGATTATAGAATGGAGGCCAGGGAAGCTTAAAAGAAGTGTGTATGAGCAACATGCATTTTTGTGGTAGGAGATAGATCTGGATTTTTTTTTTTTTAACAGAAGGGTGTTTTTGGTGTACCAGTGGAGAAAAATGTATATTTGACAATTTGATGAAATGCCCTTCCTGTTTATTCTCACTGAAAAGCAGAGATATGTTCTCTTTGTGTGGTATTAATAAAAAATCAGTTCCCTGTTATCATTAAGAGAGAGGTTATTCATGTGTTTTTACATCAGAATTCGCTTTCTTCTGCTTTCGGGTTATTCACATTGCACAATTATTTTCCTCTCACCACTTATGCAATTTCTTTCTTGGGCAACCTATTGGGGACGAGTGGAAAAACTGGATGAAGCAAGAGGTCTGGAGGCACGTGTGTGTTTATGCATATGTGGGGAAAAACAGTATTCTATAACAACAAACTTGTAATGTGCCAGTAGTCTCTAAACTAGGTGCTTTTACATGTATTATCTCATCTAATTCCCACAATAATCCTTAGAGATATTATTGCCCCAATTTCACAAAGAGAAATGAAGAAAACTGAGGAATTAATTTGCTCTGGGTCATGCAACAAATAAATAAAAAGGGAAAGCTACCCTTAGTAATCAGTGCTATTTCCCCTGCATTAAGCTGTCTCCTCTAAGAATGAGTAAGATTTCAGAGATCCTGGTCGTGTCAAAACCTATAGACATCAATGTGGAGCTGAAATTAGGAGTGTACAGATATCAAAGCAATGTGCCAAAATTACAATTCCAGCAACTGAAGAAGAGGTATCCTATAGGTGGAGAAAACTCAGGCTAATCCTAGATGACTAGGTTATCTAGGCCCTAGTGGTTAATAATTCACTTTAGAATTTGCCAGATTTTGATGAACCGTAGAATTAAAGTGCTCCATAATCCATCATCCTCTTTATGCAATTTCTGCTCCCTGGCTCCTCAGGAACATGTGTGGCATCTCTTCCTTGGCGTCTCATTGCTGTGGCTTTGGGAATCCTATGCTTGATAATACTGGTGATAGCTGTGGTCCTGGGTATCGTGGGTGAGTATTGTTGGGGGAGATTAACAACAATAGATGTTTAGTAAACACTTATTATATGCCAGGTACTCTTTTAAGGGCTTGACATGCATAATATAATTTAATTTGTACATAAACTGTATTGAGTAGGTGCTATTAATTGCCATTTTACATATAAGGGAAGTGAGCAACTGGGAGATTACTTTAATTTTCCAGGGCCATACAATACTTGGTGATGGGACCGTGATTAGAAATTTAGGTGATCTGTCTAAAAGACTCATACTCCTAACTATGTTGCTGTACTACCTCTCTTGAATAGCTGGTTTCAAAACTGTGGAATTCAAAGGATAAATTAATGGAAAGAAACCCATGGAGCTGAAGAATGAAGTAAAATATGGTGCTATGTTCTGATGAAATAAATTCACTGAAGAGACTATAAGCTATTTTTATGAGTCTCACGATTAAAGGAAATTGTTTTAGTCCTGCTTTTTTTATTCTTCTTTTTCTTTTTTTCCTATGCATTCCCATGAAGTTATAGTCCTGCTTTTTAATATAAACTCCTTGGAATATACCAGAAATTTCCTGAGGCACTTACTAAGTGCTAAGCAGATATTTTGTGATGGATAAATATCTTTCCCTAGATTTCATAGCTCATGTATTCTGTTGTCAATAAAATAATATTATGCCTTCAGAGCACCCTAATGAGATTCCTTATTTAGTCAAATGTTTATTGAGTACATTCTATGTCGTAGGTACTGGGCAGGTTCTCAATGAGCTCTCATTTTTAAGTAACAGAAGAAAGATGGAAGATTTGTTATTGACACCATTTCAAATCCATCATGGCTCCAACTGACTTTGCCATTTGCCTCTTACTGCCTTCATCATTCTATTTCTTCTTCTCTACCTGCTTCCTTTTTCTCTTTTTTACTATATTTCCTTTATGAAAGTTATTGATTTCTTTCCATCTATTCTTTCTATCAATCAATCATCTTTACCTCTCCATCAACAATATATCATCTATCATTAATCAAGAATGTATCCCTTTAGATTCCAATAACATACGGGTTTTGGGATTTTAATTTTCAAACACAGCAGAATGACTTTTTTTTCTGTCACTATTATTGTTGTTGGTATATGAAGCTATTTGGAGATCCAATTCAAAGATCAACTCATTGGAGAATGACAACTTTCTACCAAGAAATAAAGAGAACCACAGTCATCCCACACAATCATCTTTAGAAGAGAGGGTGGCTCCTACCAAGGCTCTCAAAACCACAGGCAAGGGCATAGTTAAAGGCATAATGGAACCTTGATTCAAGAGGGTTAATTCTTGGTGCTAAGGCGTGGGGCAGTGGCGTGAAGAGAGTATGCTTAGATCCAATGATTATACATTTAAGGCGTGCTCACTTACCAGTATTAACTTAGTGTAATGTGTCCCTGTGGTATATACAACGAGGTAACATCATAAACACTTCATGCATTTGGATAAACAGTTCTAAGTTGGAACTTTTCTTTAAATCGGTAACTGATTTATCACTGGCTATGGGCTTAGACCTATAGGAAATTATATGATTTGATGCAAAGGAAAGTAAAGTATTGTCTTCCTTTAAGGAATTGACATTTTAAAAGTGATACAGTTAAAATAGGTAATAGAACATTAGAAAGGAAGAATGGCAGGGAAAGAGAAAGAAAGGAAAATGTTGTGAAGAATAAAGAAACTAAATTAAAAACATACAGAATACATAAACTTAATAAATATATTCCTGAAAACAAATTAAATTTGTCTCCAATGGTACAATTTCATTGATTTAATTATGATTTTATATGCACTTGATCTTTACTTCTAATTGCATCGTAATTGACTATGAGTTAATATTTTCACTATAATTTTCCATCTCTGAACCCACGCCTCTTCACTATTTTTATCAAGTAGCTAATAATATATAAGAGAAGTGTTCTTTCATGTGAATAATTACCCTTATACTTTTCTCATTTGGAAAGTCTCATTCTGAAATGGGTCTCACATCATAAAATAAGTCACATGAAATTATAGTGTATCTTAATGATTGATTTTCAGTGGGCTTATTTTAAGGAGTTATCATGAGAAAGATAGTTCTGGGCTGACTTTGAAGGAATGCAAGAAAAGTCAAGAAGAGAAGGATGGTGGCTCATGCCTGTAATCCTAGCACTTCGGGAGGTTGGGGCAAGAGGATCGCTTGAGGCCAGGAGTTTGAGACCACCCTGGGCAATAGTGAAACCCCATTTCTAAAAAAAAAAAAAAAAGTAGAAAAAACAAAAGAAAAAGAAAAATTAGCCAGGCATGGCAGCGCAGGCCTATAGTCCCAGCTACTTGGGAGGCTGAGAAGGACGATCGCTTGAGCCCAAGAGTTTGAGGTTGCAGTGAGCTATGATGATGCCACTGCCCTCTAACCCAGGTGAAAGAGAGAAACCCTGTTCCAAAAAAAAGAAGAAGAAGAAGAAAAGGATAGTTAGCAAAAGGACGGTTAGCTCTCTAAAACAATGTTTATAGTTAATCATTTTTAAATTTTAGTTGCATAGGGAGATTTGAATGTATTCTCTTCTGTAAAATCATATCCCTATAGTTTGAATTAAGATGAGATATAATAATGGCGACTCACTGATTATTTATTAAGTGTTCTTAAGATGAATGGTGCTTACACCAAAAGAGCGAATTGATATGCTATGTACCTCATGGTACTTATCTTTTGTTTCCAGTAGTTCCAGAAATGCCTTCCAGCTCCTGTCCCCCTAATTGGATTACACATGAGAAGAGCTGTTATCTGTTTAGAACATCACTAGATACCTGGAATAGAAGTAAAAGACAATGCTCTCAGCTAACCTCTAATCTCCTAAAGATAGACAGCTTAAAAGAATTGGTAAGTGTAGACTTCAGTTATGTAACTATCTGCGGTCTGTATTGAGCAGGAAGATAGAGGCAGATGCCAGGTAGTGACAATTTTCCCTAAGAGGAAGTCATTTTAAATGTTCTCCATAATAATAATAACATGCATTAAG